GTTGTCGATAACGGAAAATTCGTTCTACTTTTTTCTTCTTCGTTTATTATCTATAATATTATGTACATGTATATATTGTTTTTTTATCGATTTTATCGATTGCTATAACCTTTTAATAGTGCACGTTTAATTGACTTATTTCGCTCTCCGTTAGAATAATATACGGTTAAGTATTGGTTAGAGTTTGCCATCGTCACCAACCTTGACCTAGTCTCTCTCTCTCTCGGCGGTCCGCTATATGACCGAATCAACCGGTTAATGTATATGTATTCATTTACACCTCCTACTGTTGTGCGAGGGGAACCTCGTCGAGTCTCTTTGATATATATAACTTAAAACATCTATCAGTAGGTATTATTATTATTATTATTTAAATGGTCGCGTCTGTAGCAATGTAACGTTATAAAAAATAAAAATTATGGTAAAACCGCTAAAAGCTTAACCGCTTGGGTTGGCACCTAGAAAACATCAACCAGAATAAACTTGAAAAACGTGAATAGACGGAAATTGCAATACTACTTAAGAGAACACGTGTACAGAAATGGAGAACGGCAATTTTTTTTTTTAGGTCTCTCTCTTTAACGTTAAAGTGAAACGCTTAGTCTGACTAAACGTAAAAACATCTCTGCAACGCGTTAGGATATATTGTTTGTGGTCATTTGTTTTTTTTTTGTTTATTATAGTATATATGATATTCTCATCTTAAGGTAGAGACGGTTTATATTATAAACGCAACTATATCAATGACCAATACATGATTTACAATTAATATTTATAAACTAATCGTCGTTATATTATGTCTAAGTACACACCTTGTTGGACTAAAAGTGACGAATAATTTTTATTCAACAAAGTACAAACTAGTATTGCGTTATAATAATTACAGCAGTGTAGAAAAACCGGATATATCATTTATTTTAACATTTATTAGAGCCACAGCAGTCCTACTTTAAACTTGTTAAACTTTATTTACACGGAAAAAAATGTACTGTGGATTTTTTTAGAGAATTTTCTAATTCTAAGTTGAAAAAATCCACGTTTCACTTATTTCTAAACACTTTTAAGTTTAAAGAAATGTCATATATTTATTAAAAGAGATTTTAGAAAGAATTATTATTAAATCCATTATTTATTGATCAAATAAATGATAGCGAGGTTTTTTTATTTAAATCCAAAAGCCATCAAATAATAAATCTGAATGGATTTTTTCTAAAATATTAATTATATATCAATATATTTTTTATATCGACATGCGATACAATATATTATATTACCGCTACAGTAGTCCCACGGTTCATTACAATGACTCTAATTAAAATCATTTATAATCGACAAACAAATATTCGTGTAAAAGGATTTGATTGTTCCAGTAAACTAATAAAGTTATGAGAATATAAAAAAAAACCGTACAAATAAGCTAATTAATAGGTTCTAAGTAAAAAATGTAATACTCTAAAATAGTTAAGGACCTGTATGAGGGATAAATATTAACCTGTTGCGCTACGTCCTTTCTGAGCTGGTTTTTAAAATTATTTCAATTTCTATTAATATATTTACTACAGAAATTCTAACAGACTATAAATATTATGTGACAAATAAAAATAACACTTTTTATGGTGGATTTTTTTGGATCTCATTTCATTACACCTGAATTCATAATATTAAGACAGGTGTGACAAACATTTTAAAATTAATACAATATATATCCACATATTTACAAGACATCACACGTTTTCGACGCTTTCAAAGTTTTTCTCTTTGGACGACAGTGTTAAGTTTGAGTGTACCATACGCATTTATCGATACGCTCTATACAGATATATTATTGTTAATATTATTCACACGGTACGTGACTGGCGTGTTGAATTTTAACCTACTTGGGACGAAGTGACACACCGCCAATCGACTGACATATTATTATTATATTATGACCGTTTGGTCGACGGGCCACTCTCACTGCGAGAAGCCAAGACGATAGGGTATAATAACACGAATTATATTATTGGCTAGCTGAATCTGGTCGTCTTGTACGCATTTGTATTTACAATCGTGTCGAAGAAATAAAAATCGAAACTCTCGGCTCGAATTTGAATGGCAAATAAAAATAAAACAACTTTCGCTTGTATTATTTCGAAGACAATACTACGGTTTTAATACGAACACTTTTTTATTTTTGTGGATTTTCACACAAACGAGTTAACAGCCAACAAAGCTGCACTAAGTTTCCCCTGCTAATAGTATTATATGTAAATTTTCTAATAGTTTCGATTCAAGAGATTGTGTTTGAAAAAAAAAAAGCACTATTACAGTATTGGATGCGATGGAATATAGGTTTAACCTTGATGAGATTTCTGCAAGTCACAAACAACAATTATCCGCTTGTTAAAAAAAAAAAAAACAAATATAAATATACAAACTAATTGCACGCGCTATTATAGGTTAAAAAATATGTTTTCGGTCATTACGTAGAAAATAGTGTACAGGATGAATTTCAACAAAATTACTGCAGAAACACTGTACAAGAATAATTCTAAGGTTGAGAGCCAAAAGCTGGTGAGGTTTCGCATAAATGTAATGTGTGTAAAGCTAAAGGTTAGGTTAGAAGAAACATGGTATGTTACTAATTATCATGTTTGTTTTTGAAAGACCTAAAAAATGTAAAAAAGTACGACTTGTAGTATTAAACGGCGATTCGTTGGATACAAAAGTTTTATGAAATTTTCAAATTGCTCTTCAGAATTATTGGGTTTTTTTTTTTTAAAAAACTTTGTATGGCGTTTTCTTGAAAATACATACCTAGTTGATGTGTCCAAAAACAAATTTGCTTAAAAGCACTGCGTCATCGCAAACGTTTAACGCGTCATAATGGCGATCGAATAATATTATTTTATCTATGACTAATAGACGACTGATAAATTATTATTATTGCACGACAAAGGGAGATCGCAGACGATGGCAGAAGATCACTGACCTTAAAAGCGACCGGTAACGTGCAAAAAAAAAAATTATATATATATATATATATACATTTATTCATTTTTTACCTTTTCAAATAAAACGGACAAACACAATTAACGCGCAATGCTATATTGTAAACCTCCTAATCCCCAGTTGACGGTCGTTGAAGTTACTACAAAACGGTCTAGTTTCTTCGTTTGTACAAAATCGTGGAAGAAATTTAAACTAACAAGTAGCGTTGTGTTGTCTCTAGTCGTTGATCTTGTTGTCTTTGTGAAAATATGCATACTTCTAGTCGGTGGGAAAATTTCAATTAACAACTACCCGGCTTATATGCATACAATTATCTTGAGAACAGCTATGGGTTTTGATAAAAACTATGATTATTAACATTACCGCATGTTACAGATTGCGACACGGCTGGCAATCGGTCAAGGTGTGGATTCAGATGAAAAAAAAAATACATTAATACCATTGTAGATCATTCGAAATTACTCTTTTTGACTAACCCCGCTAACCATTTTGATCGCACGAAATTTGTATAAATTCTTATTCAAGTCATACTACATTATTGAAAAAAAAAAAATGTACACTATCAATATGAGTTTAGCTTGTCCACGAAACCGGTATATTATTATCTAGACATTAAGTACAGCAAGACTTCCGTTAGTCGACACTGTTTTTTTTTTTTTTAAGTTTTGGCTTAAGAATATTGTGGTGTTAACTACATAATATAAATATCGGATATATTTTTTTTTTGTAAATATAATACTTAAAACACAAGTCTTATGATAGCCAGTAGAAGTAGGTATAGGTACAGATTGTTTTCGTGTCAAAAAAGTCCTGTTAACAAATAGTATTGTTGTGTCTCCGGTCATTGAACTTGACGTTTTTGAGAAAATATGAGTTCAATTTGCATATATTTTATAGCTGGGAAACGACTAATTAACCGCTATATTATGTAGCTCACTCTACAATGATGGCATACTGCGGTTAGTATTGTTATAATACACGTGGTGTTCGAGTAAGTCTGAATTTACTGAGAAAATGTTCAGTGCAAATCATTTTTTTTTTTTTTATAAACAATAACACCAAATATGGCTAGGTATTGACAAAAAACGGAGTATGTCAAGGGTAGTTGTTGTGCTTAAATAGGGTTAAGTAGACTATTGACTCGCCCCCTAGCTCCTGGAGATTTTTTGTTTTGTTTTGTTGCATATCATCCTCGAGAAGAAAACCGTACGTAATACACTACTGGTGCATAACGGGGTTGCAAGTGTTGTTGACAAATCAATATTAGGATTTCTACAATCGTCTTAACCCGTAGGTACACCAACAATTTTTTTTAATATTTTAAACTAATAACCCCAAATTTGCATTATTTATTATAATTTGTAATAACAAACAATTGCTATAGCTTTTACCGCGATAATAGGCCGCTGTCGTTTGTACAACAGCCCACATGCCATTTAGGTATATAGTGCACCGGGAATAAACTATTAATATCGGCTACGGATTATCACACTTTCGTTATGAGAATTCCAGACAGAATTTCACCTTCGGTGCCGGAACTTTTCAAAACGGATATATATTATTATATTATTTACAACAACGGCCGTCGCTTTTATGGACGGAAGAACCGAGAGAAAGCGACAAGCGTGTCGTCGATAAACATTTTTCTTTACAGCTCTCGACGACTTTTATTTAAGAAAAAAAAAAAACAAAACATAACCGAATCGATATTGTCAATAATATTATAAAATCTCTTTTTTTCCGTGTACGCTGCGATTTCAATAAGTTTCTCTAAAATCGTCCACTTTATTCGAATTTTCAAGTGCGACTGAGACACTTCATCAGACGGGTGTGGGGGGGGGGGGCTCGGGATTCCAAAAAACCTTAAGACTTATCAAACTAGTGCCCCTACGTTTGTGTTTTCGTTTCAGCGAATCTGGAAAAGTACTAAGTTCCATTACCCCCCTGGATTTTCTTTTCGCTGTTCGATTGTACAGCCGATAAAAAAATCGAAAAATTGTCGTACTTACGGGCAAATCGAAACGACTGTATTATTTCCTGTACACCGGGGTAAACACCGCCACCGTGGATCGACCAGAGATTTTGCTGTTATCACACACACACACACGTACACTTTATACACCGGTGAAATTATAATTTTCGGTCAGTAAACATGTTAAAAAATTAGATTTTTTTTTTTTTTGATGGGGAGGTGTCGTTGCGGTGATTGGAAAAAAAATTGTTTCAAAAAAATTTCAAAGGCCGCGGTAGAGAGGAGAAAGAGAGACAGGGGAAACGGTCGGATTCGAAAGAGCGAGCGGCGACGGCGAACGGTGAACGCGGACTGCACTGGGCGGCGGATTACCGTTCGACGGTGGCCGATGGACTGTTTCGGACCACCGGGGAAATGATAATCATTCAGCCGTCCACAGTGCTGCCACATGCCGCGGTCGCCACCGCCGGTCTGATATGCACATCAGAAAAACAACAATGATATTATTATCAGTTGGGTAATTCGCTGAAATCTTGGAATTTCAAGTCCGCAGACCTGTCCGTTCTCGAAAATTCTCAAAACCTCACATTATTCAGTCATAAGCAGGTATTCTGGTTTTCAGAATCGATTGTGGAAAAACACTTTAATAATTCCCTCGTTTTACCCTGCCAACTCCTATGACTCCCTACAACCTATTTGCTTAAAGTGGCACCAATTCAAAGCTTTTGCTTAGCTTTTGCTCGAATGTCAACATAAAGTAACATTGACTGCAATTTCACATTTGGTTTTATTAAAGTTCAAACCTACTATATTATGTCAATAACAGTATTATATTGTTATGTATTATGTTGTTTATTAAAAAAAAATTTGTTCGTTTATCTGAATATTTTGTTTAGTCCTTCGCACTGCAGTCCAGTCTCTCACCGCTGCCGTCCGGTCCCTTACTCATTATATTTCTTTAATTCAAATTTTCTACTAAACTAAGAATTTCTACGAAGGACTTTTAATGTGAACCCTATGCTTAATCAGAAACCAAAAAAAAACCTAGTATTATTTATTAATAATAATATCGATAATCATAGGCATAACCAGGATTATAAATCTGGGACCACCGTAACTGTGAAAATAACCCATGGGCTACAGCCCTACATACATAGAAATCTTTTTACTTGATAAAACATACTTAGTTTTAATAACGTTCGTTATTCATTACTTCTCAATTTTTCAACAAGGAATGTTTTTTTTTTTTGGGGGGGGGGGGGCTAAATTTTTGTCAAGTGACCTAGCCCCACTAATAGTTCAAAAGCTACATAAAAATGCACCGTATTTCCTGTATAAGCTTAAAAGTTGATTTTAAATACAGATCCGTCTGAACCCTTTCAGTTCTCAGGCACGATACAATGTGCACAAATTCATCGAGTTGAAAATTTGGAAAAAACCTCCTTAGGTCATGTGTTTTTGAATAGTTGATAAGACATTGAATTTCGTTTGTGGGAATTTTTTTTACATAGAAATCAAGCTATGTCTTTTATATTGAACAATCAACGTTTCCTGGTCTACTTGAAAACATTTGGGTCAAAGCGGGTTTTTTGATAAACTCTTGAATAAAAAATAGAGTGTTGTTTATTAGCCTTAATTTACAGCTTAATTGCTTGGCTATTAAAACTCAAGTCATTTACGACTTTTTTTTGGCTAATTATAAATTTCTGTATAATTTCTACTTAATAATTATTTCTGTATAATTTATGTTTGTAAGTGATTATTTTTTTTTATCGAAATGCCAAGCAACGGCTTCATAGACCATTAGCTGACATGGCGTTTTCGGCCACGGGTTATAGATAAATATCTTCTTCTTCAGCTATCCTTACATCAATTTCCATTCCTCATTCATCTTCTTAGCAACTCTCACTGTCTCATCTCTTCTCATAACATGACCGATGATGTTTTAGATAAAAAAAAAAAAAATTTAACGTAACTTTTCATTTTTGGACAAACGTGTTAGTTGTTAAATTCGTACATTTTATTATTTGTATTATTTGTTCAGCATTAATTCAATACATTGTTGCTTAAAATAATTACCATGACATTTGATAACATGAGCTGATATGTACACCAAATGAGCTAATACTCGTATCTGGTGTACGGAATAAATAAATACAAAAGTTGTACGAATGAATAGGTCACGTTTAAAATAATGTTACTTAAACGAATGTAAAACTTTTTTATGCAAAAATTTAATGAACAAATCAATGTTCAACGTTCAGTTCAGGGTAGCGATTTTTGAACGTTAAAACATGTAATTATAACATGTTACATATAAGTTTAATAGTACAATGAACGTACCTGTTCTATTTGTTTGCGTTTAGTTTAATGTTACGGTTTTCGAACGTCAAAACATTTAATGTTATTGGTTTAAAAGTTCAAGGAATGTAATAGCGTTGAATAAATATTTGTAGGTATTATGAGATGTCACCACAGAATAGATAAAAGCAGTAGGGTCACTCTTAAAGTAAACAAAACCGTGACGACCATGTTGAAAGGGCATACGATGACCGTACCCTTATCTTTCCCTATCTATTTAGTACTATCAATATAAAATATTGACAATACGGTTTGTATTTTATAAAATATATTTGTTTAAATTAGTTATAACTTAAATTGTTTAATTGCTAATACATATTAAAACCTCTTAGAGCAATTTTTCTAGTCATTATATCAATTATTGTTTTGACTTTCGTATAAAAATTATATTCTACATTTAGTTTTACGAAAATGGTCACACTGCGACGCCCTAAGCTATGGCCCTCGCGTTTTTATGTTAAAAGTATCTTCCCCATGTTAATTTTTATCAGTGTCCGGTTTGTTATCAACAAACTTGTGAACTGAACGTTGTCATTATGACCGTTGATTTTCGCTACGATACGGAACCCTGGTGTAAAATATGCTTAAAGCGCATTTATTGAACACGAACTATGGTTAGGTAACTTGTACAATGTATTGCGTATGACATGTTAACAATTTTTCATTTTTTTTTCACGAATGCGTCGATTTGCACAGCCATGCGCATCACTGGTAATGCGATGCGCTTTTAAACAAATTTTCACGCGATTTAATTGCGGTATGTATTTCATTTGCGGGCTAGAAGGTACGTAACGGGTATTGCGGTTTCGCTGAAGCCAATGACGTCGAACAGATTGAGAGACACGACGTTGCGCCTGTTGATGATCGCGTGTGGCGATATGCCCCTCTCGCCCATTTCTTTGGTAATAGCGTTGGCTATGGTCTTGCCGAAACCGCGTCTCCTGCATTCCGGCCGCACCACCAGTGTGCTCAGACCGCCGTAGCTTCCACACATAGCCCAAGCTAGCGGGTCGTTGTTTTCCTCCCCGAACACACCTAGGCCGAAATTCAAGTTTACCGTGTCCACGATATCGAATTTCGAGTACACATCACTGTGGGCCCACTGCGAGTAAATAAAATCCACGTGATCCTTGTCCAGCCGACGGACGGTAACCCCGTCTGGAACTCTGAAACGGTCACGGAAGAATTGTATGGGTAATGGGTTACAGTGGTCAATAGGTATACACTTATACCTATTAGTAATTGTTTAAAAGTCCAAGCCGGGAGAGAGGCGATAATGTACGGACAGTAGTAGGACAATAATGGATCATTTGTAAACACGTTGACATGCATAACATCGCACCCTTAGAATACAACAGGTATTACTCGAAAATGTCGATTTTGAGTTGGCACCACTGCTTTCTACCATATTTTTCTCACCGCTAGGTACCGTTAAGCGCCGTTCAATTGCGTTAACTCCCAAAATCTTTAATTCCATTTCCCCAGGAATGACTTTTTTTTATTTGTATTTATGCCTGTTGTATTCTAGGGGTGGGATATGTTTTTCGGCTGGGGGTCAAAATTTATGTGGGCGATGAAAGTGAGTAGAGTGGGTGACAAGGAAAATTGAAAGTTAGACAAGGGCATGTTTCGTTTCTAAAAACAAGCATAGTAAGAGATCTTACTGACGAGAAACAGTAAGTCAACTGATCGTAAGACATGTAGGTAACTTAAGATAACACATTTTATTTCATATAATATGTTTTTACTATCCTACACACTCCTATGCCAAGGGATTCCCCTCTCCCTTATTCCCTCTTCCACGAGATGTTGACTCATATGAACATCTATTGCTCCACCAACCGCAAAAACTAAGCAACAAGATTATTGTTTATTTGGCCAGAACACATTATAGTTGAGACTATTATCATAAATCGCAAGGAGATTACAGATCAAAAATAATCAATATTTAGAAGGCAGCAGCCTAAAGAATGTTCTATGTTTTATCATTATAGCCGTTAGTCTTTAAGTCGACTGTAACTTTTTTGTAGTTCTTTTTATGACATTATAAATGTTACAATAGTGCAGTCCAGTCAAAATGTTCAGTGGACTTGAGATAAAATTTGAGCTAACTACAACGCTTAAATCTAAATCTGTGAACAACAAACTTCTTTTTGTGTTGCTTTATACGCACTAAGTTATTTTATCCAGCATACGCCCAAAACATTTTATACAGTCTTGGTCTGATTTTCTGATTAATCTTGGGGGTTAAAATTAAGTAATTTATTTGTAACAAGATAAAAATTAATTTTTAAAGTTATAACATTTACTTCACTTCTATTTTAGTTGCTTCGCTTGCTGACATCCATTTCAGTAAACTCTCAGCATATAGTCTGCACTTCATGTTTTTTTCTAAAATTGTTGATTCCACGATATCACTTAACCTTGCCAAGACGGCTTGGAAAAGAACTTCTTTTTGCCAGTTGATGACTTTGGTGTTTTGTAATACTCTTTGAAACTTTTCCTCATTTCCGGGGTTGGTATATGTGACAACAATATCCGGTAAATGTTCTTCCTGAAAGTAATACAATATGTCATCGTGCTCAACATTAATAAACACTTTCCTGTGATGTAATTAGCTATAAAATATCTATTTTCCATAATATTCTCTTACCTAAATAATAATAATACTCACTGGTTGTAAATATGTGCCAATAAAAATGCCACTCTCTATATCGTTGGAAATGTAGTAGAATTTGTAAACGGAAGCAGCGTTTTTATTGTTCCATTTCAAACCAGTTTTAATGAAGTAGTAGGGCTGTATAAAATACAAAAATACATTTTTTTGTAACAAGACAAAGTTGAAAGTTAAAAATAAATTGTTTGGGGTTTCCCAATTTTATGGGCAAACTGTTTGAACTATTTCAACAAAAGGACATGCTAATCAAGTAAATCAGTCATTGTACAACTGTAACCTTCACAGCTCTGCATCCAAGCTAAATAATAATATTCAGTGTGTGTTACTTTATTATATACTTTATATTTGCAAATATTTTGTGTATCGGCAACCATAAGAATCCTGCGTTTACTTTTTAACATAGCAAATTGTTACAGAAGGCTTTTTCTATCACATAAAAAAAAATAACAAAGGAACTTATGTCTTTTGATATCAGACCAGCTAAGTCGGACACCTCTATAAAGAATACATACATATTTGTCACAAACCATTTGTCAATGAATTACGAGTCAATGACTACATTACCAATTACAAAATGTGAAGAAATCCATTGAATGTACGTACATTTGTACTTACAAATGTATATTGTATGTGTAAATGTAAAAGTATATTTATTAATTTGTATTTAGCTTAACTCTGGTTTTTAAACTCATTATACTTTTTATTTTATCAGTAAATTCATACAAATATACTGAGAAAACTACAAGGTAATTATATGTATGAAAAATACATAATATTTCCAATATTTATAACAAACTAGAGAATTGAAATTTTTTTGTAATTTGTTGCGAGGTCAAAAATTGAAAAAATACACTCTTTTAAATATTTTTAAGAAAAATATATGCATTTTATAGACTCGCATATATATATAATATAGGCTTATGTACACTATATTATGATACAGATCTACCTTCAGTCTAATTTATTCAGAAAAGGACGGAGTGAAATTTTACTGTTAGTGTACACATGCGATTTTTGATCCATTCAGTTGCTACACAAAGAAAACGGTTCAGCGGGTTGGAAGATTAATGTGGGTTTGGACACAAAAATAAAAATTCATCTTTGGAAAAACAATAACTTCTCAGCTCCGCGCCGAAGCAAAAAAAAAAAAAAAATTGTCAATAACAAGTGTTATGAACAAATTAATTTTATTTTAAAAAACTGACATAAACTATGCCAATCAGTAATTTGAACATTATAAAACCCGTATGTCAATACTTACGTGAATGCTGTCTGGCCATTGTCGTTTCAAAACTTGTTCACAGAAATATTCGACCGTTTCTTTAGGTATTTCTTCAAAAATTTCGCACTGCATTTTTATGATGTTCAATGTTTTTTTTAAATAAAATAACAAAATCGGTGTAGCGGAAGAAACGAAAAGTATAGTTTATAGATTAACGTGTCGGCAATGAATACCTATTACATATTATTAAGATTTAACATGTGTCAACGTAGAAAGCACTTGACAATAAGTGTGCAAAGGACGTCGTCGTGTGCACTGTGAGATTAATCCTATTAAAATAATTTGTACATTATAATAGTATATCAGTAGCAGGCGGTGCCAGCAATCGTCGTCAAGGCTGTATAACTGTAAACTGAATACGTGGCGGGGGGGGGGGGCGGTCAAGAACGTTAAGATATCTCAAAAATACTGTACTTGTATTTTTTTTGCATTCTACTTTTGGTTGAACATATAATTAAAATCTGACATCTAAATAGCTTAGGTTTAAGTTCATATTTTCAACAAGAAAAATTGTCTCCGGGTGTGTCTTTCTACTGAACGGTTATAAAATTGTGTAATATAACATTAATTGCACATGAATAATCCCTTCTTAGACTTTTATGTTGTCCATTTTTCTATACATCCAATAAAACGAGAAATGTTAATAAACACAAATTTGGCTTTGGTTGCGTGTTCGATAAAGTACTAGTTGAATTTGTACACAACTGTATTGAAATTATTACCTACTAAAAAAAAAAAATGTTTTCTAAAATGTTTAAACACTGGACGATTATTATTTTATGGTTTAAAATTTTTACATTTTTTACGGGTTTCCCTAACAAAACAAAGTAATTTTCCAACAATTTATTTGAAAACCAGCCTTTTAACTTTTCAATTTTGGCCCTTTAAGTGTACAAAATAGATTTGGTTTTATTTAAAAAAAAAAAAAAAAAATTGGAACACTACTTTTTATTTGATACTAGTCAACCTGATTTTTTTTCTCTGAAATTTCAGTGAGTCAAAATTAAATTTAGAAAAAACTAAAACTAGCACTCTTCCAAAAAAAAAAGTCATTGCTTCCAAAATATGCTACTTTTTAAAAATGTATCATATTTTACGGTAAATATTTCTTATCAATATTGTATTTTAAAATTATCTAATTCAGTCAAATAACAAATTTCAGTATGCCATAAGGAATAATAATAAAAAAAACACAATACCATTTAAACTATAAATGTTTATGTAGGTATTACATCGTTTGAAAATCTTAATATATAATTTGTTTATATTTTAAATGAAGTTGACAGCTTTACCTTTAATCTTCCTCGTTGTAAATAATTTCATTTGTGTTTAATGGTTATAATGTTAACAATTCTTGTTCTTCTGTTGAGGGATAATATGACTTATGCCAATATCTAAAACTTAATATTTATAATTAAATTTCAACGTTATCACAGGACACAGTCTGCCGAGAGTGAAGTGATTGTTTAAGATTCGCAAAAATTTGGAAAATTGGTTACTTTTTTTAGTTATAATTCTCATTAGATATATACAGAACTCTAGTAAAATAGGGCTTTTGATTGTTAAAACTATTACAAGTAAACCTATTATTATTGTTACTGGTATGATTAATATTTCTGGTACCATTACAGCGATTTGGGGTTGCCATATAATTCCGATTAAATACAGCCCTCCTAACCTTATTATTATTTATTCCATTAGGATATCTATTGTATTTATTATAATTAAAGTTACCCAAATTAATATTATTATTAGACCTACGAGCACTATGCATAGAATTGTTAAGATTCGTACCGTGATTTGTCCTAGTATCCTGATAATTATTTTGGTTTAAAAAATCCTTACAATTTCCAATTTCCTTACAATCTCCTGCACAATTTAAGTAAGTATTTCTATTAAACTCTTAAATGTTTAATTATATAGTGTAAGAAAACAGTAATAAGGATTATTTATATCAAGTTATTTTTTTATCCATTCTTAATCATTAAGAATGATTAACCCGATGTTTAACACGATCCACATTTGAGAGAGAATTCTATAATTGTTTTTGGTTTTTTTCGTTATTCGGCTTGAAGTGTACTTAAGGATGTGTATTAAAAAAATGCAGTTTTTAAAATCGTTTTCATAATACCTCACAAAAATAGATCTCTCTGCATACACAACCAAGATTAAAAGAAATTAAAATAAAATGTCCTGCGTCAAAGAAGAAACATTCAGCAAAATGAATATTATAATATATATAATATTATTATTATATTTTCAATCATAACTTAAAAAGTTTGAACAGTACAAAGATGAAAAAATTAACTTGTTAGGGAACTAAATTCATATACAATTTTATTTAAACAATTTTTTAATCGTTAAAGATGAAAATTCAAAATTAAAAAAAAAAATTGTTCACTTTGACTTAATTTTTAAGAAAAATATTAGTCGGTTTCCAAATGATAAATAATCATAATATTGTGTGCAACCCCTTGAATTATTAAAAATGCAATATAACATACAGGGTAACCGTGGCGGTGGTCTGTAGTGCTAAATTAACTTAACTTGCATAAGAATAATAATTAATATGAGCTAGTTTTTTTATAACACTAGTTATTTAACAAAAGTTATCAGACTATTATCAGTAATAATTTATACAATACCTCATTAAGGAACAAATAATATAACACACAACCCAAAAATATTGCTACATTTTTTTTTAATTCTAATAATTTAATTTAGACATTGTTTATTAACAATATCTTTATTGGTAATTTAAAAGTTACAACAGTTTCACCGTTTTTAATTTAATTAGGGAGTTTCCATATTATCTTAAGCCAATTAAAAATAATTTAAATATGATAATTACAAAAATACCAGCTATACACTTGGTTAGTAATGTTTTTATTAGATAATATCATTCTACCACAGGCTCGTTTTTGTTTAAATTATGTATGAAGCCTTATGTTTTCAACCGTGTGAAAATTAATCATATCTAATCGGTCTAAGTGCTGCTAAAGACATTTGTACATATTTCCATACATTTTTGCATGAAAAAAGAATGATAAAAATATTTTTTATTCTTACACCTCTCTATTTTAGCTAATTTTGAAGAAAACCACACCCAATAGAATTGTGTGCTTTTTCATCCAGAGGTCTTTTGTCATCTGGATTTTTTCCATAAGAAGTCCAAATGTCAAAAGTTCAAGCTTTACTTAGTAAACCATTACAACACATAATTACATATCCATTATACATAAACAATGTAAATATGTTATAATACGTTTATGACTGTTATATTTATTAATTTTGAAGATACCCCCTCAAACAATCCATCACGTCTAGTACTTGTAAATATAACAATTTTACATATTTTGTTATTGCATATTTATTTAATTGTATTTAATTGTATACAGATATTTAATTTTCTACACAAAATTTAAAATTTAAAAAAATTAAAAAACAACACCATTTCTTATGACAATATGATTTTTGTGCGTTGGAGATGCAACGGTACGCAATAAAAAATTATATATTCTTATAGCTGAGAACTTCTTCTATAAAATGCATATATTGGGTTTGGGTAAAATTGAGTAAATTTTAACTAGTCTTTGAAAAAAAAAAAAAAAAACTTTCGATTTTTTGTATGATTCATAACCGGTTAGGGACTTAAATTAAAAAAAAAAAATATTAAAATAAAATTTTATAATCCTTATATGTTACTTAATAATCAAGCATTTTATTTTTTTAATTTTACATATTTTAATAGCCAAAAAAAAATTAATTAATTATCGGCATTTTTATTTTCAAAATAACAGAAAAAACAATATGTGTTTAGTTCACTTGGCGGCTATAACTCCAGTTCAAAAAATGATATTAAGTTGAAATTTTATATTTACACTTGTAAAAAAAAAAATTGATTTTTTGAACATTTTTAATGGCCTTCTTTTGCCACCTAAATTTCATTCTCAGAACACTGTGCGATGACAAGCTGTCGTGGTATAACTTGGTTACAACCATAGTGGTAACTTGTTATCATATTTTGGGAAACCACGACCGAATGCCGCCGCGCCGCCGATAAACTCTTATCACAAAATATATTTGTTTCATTTATTGAGTGATAACATCAGGTATTTTTTTTTTAATCTAACTTAATATTATGTTTTGTACTTGTTATACCCTGTAGTTAATTGTGTTTAGTGTTATGTGTTTTTTCCGCCAAAGTCACCAACAGAGAATATTAATAACAAATAATAACCATCTATACCGTTAAATCACTTATTCAACGAAAACTCTTATAAAGAATAATCGAGAGAGCAGTCTTCATTCAAGTCACAACAGATTCAATGACCAATTTTCTCAATCACTTTTATGTTTTGGGAAAACGGTTAGAATCACACGCAACTCAACCTAAGAGCAAAGAAATGTTTTGTAAATCAAATTCTCATGCTCAAATTGCTCACGGTCTTCATAACTCTCGTGTAACCTGGTGTTAGTTATATGTTAATATTGAAGTGGACAAGCATGGATGTACTGAAATTAATTCTATGCCTTCAAGATGACCGTGAGTACATAATATGTAAAAGGGAATTGTAAAGTACCTTGAAAATGCTTCCCCCTAATATATTTTATTCAATCGTTAATTGTTAAAATGCTAACCCATATTTACAACATAAAAACAATATACTTAAGTATTTATTAAATATAGTAACATAGTATTGATAGATAATTAAAAATTTTTTTTAACAATATTCTTGTTAAAACAACCTATGGTTGTACATAATATATAGTACTGATGTAAACACCAAATTACATTTAAATCATCCGACAATTGCAATTATGATTGGTTTAAATACAAATTGAAATAGAGCACACGTTTTAATTGTGTAGTTATTTGTATCATAGTTATTATTTTGGTTAACAAAGTTGGATTAATTTTCTTTTTTCTCGTGAAAACTATGAAAAATGTCCTTTATGCCAATAGCCAAATTAACTTTTAACCGCCGAATTATGTGTTATAAAACAATAAAAGTTATTACTTATAAGAGTATTTATATTTTAATTACATTTTTTATTTTAGTTTCTAATGCCCAAGGGATTAAGGTTCAACATCATCAACTAGCTTACTACTACATACATGAAGTATGTATCAATTTAATTTAAATTACATATAAAAACACTACGTATTTTTGGTCGTTAATTAATTATTTTATTTACAGATCAATGTATATTAAACAAAAGCCAAGTTTCGCTCGAAATGCTAACAACATCTCAGTACAATCGAGGGATGTGTGTTAAAGCCTGACCAAACTGTTAGTGAATTTCCAGTGAGTTATTTAGTTTGAAGTGTCCAAAATTATGTGATGTGTTTATAATAATATCGACGGCTAGTACACAGGTACAATAGATGCTTTTTTTTTTAAAAATAAACTTGAAGGAATTTGGTTAAAAAATATATAATGCTGTATCGTTCCATGTATTTGCTGAACTTGCCACGGCCCGCCATGCCATACCAATGGTAAACTTTTGTATTCAAGCTATTCCATGTAATATATTGTACAAATAATAATATTTACTAAGTAATTTGAATGGAATTTTTCGATCCGTTATGTTTGACAGAGTATTTTTCATAATGCTAAAAATTCTATTATGTATGTGTGTGTCTATTGCTGTGTAATGTACATAACTCATTTGCTCAAAAAAAATAAAAAATTCTCTTATCTCACCTGTGCAACATAGTGCACATTAATAATATCACATTTCCAAATATTTTTATAGTTCTTTATTATGTATGAAAATGTTTTCATTCATTGACATACTATAATTGTATGTTTATTTTTTTGCAATTTTATCTAATTTTTTTTTTTACTTCAGATCATCGAAGACACGGACGTCAAAATGAAAGAACAGCAATTTGATGTTTTATTGAACTGAATGAGCTCAAGAACGAAGAGAAGAATTATCCGGAAAAACTATTGTCGATGCTACTTGACTCTTTTTGAATTTTTTTCTTATATATTTGCACAAAATAAAATTAGGTTTTTTTCTCCTAAACTTGTGGGTTTTTCTTCTTTTTTTCTTTGAAAATGAATCTCATGTTAGGGACGGTTTAATATTTTATTCTACGTAATGATTTAAACACTGTTAACTCTTACGATAGTATTACATATTGTGTTTTTATTTAAAATTGTTATTCTCTTTGTCCTTGTATAATATATTAAGTTTTAGCAATGGAAAATAACTCAAATACCAATCAAAATAAATTGCTGTAATTTTAAACGTAGCTGAAGTGCATTAGTACTACATTAAATAATACTTCCGTATTAACTATTATACTATTATTAGTCACAAAGATTTTTTTAAATGTATTTCCGTTGTATAAATTCCAATAACTGTATGTTTACAAAATAGTTAAATACCATGTCTGGGTAAAAATTGAGAAAACCTTTTAGCTATTAACAAATATAATTTCTAAAATAATGTTCCTAGTTTTAACTGACTAAAATTGTTGTAATATATTATGTAAATTCTAATTATTGTTAAATAATGATAGTTTTTCAAATTAATGCCAGCATTATTAAGGCTCATTTCAATAATATTGTAGCTTTATTAGGCAGCTAATTAAATAATTACTTTAGTATTATTGTATTAATGGTGAAACTTAGCTTCTAAATGATTTTGAATTTAAACTAAATGGCTACTAACTCTTTAGGATCATTAAATAAAAGTGATGGCGTCACTGTATTAATTTGGAGAATCTTTAAATTGTATAATAACAATTAAAAACGGATACTAAAAAATTGCAATTTAATACAATTTACTACTAACTTATTACTAATAAACTCAAGAAAAGTATACATTTATCAGTCAATATCTAGTGAAAACCACGCCAAAAACATGATAATAAAAAGCCAGTACAGTAAGGGTCGGGTCTACAGATTTTATTATAACTGAAAGTGATAAAATCATTTTTAAATAAACGCTTCGATGCGAATCTGTTGATAGTATGTACAAACCAAGGTTAGCGGTTTCAAAGATGTCGTGGGACCAGCAATACTTAAAATTTAATATTTAGTCTTGTGCAGGGTGGATACGATAAGGGTTGATCGACTGTCATAGTTACCCATGTATCGTAATTACAAATATAATGAAAATATTTTCATTACTTGTTGGCTGATGTTCCACTTACACATAGCAACCTAGAAACTGACTACGGCCTAATTATTTTGGATTGTTAATGTTCATCGATAGGACTATGTTTGAAGAACAATACAGTTTGGAACTTTTCCGATTATTTTTAAAAAAGTTGTAGAGAATCGTAACTTTAAATTGAAATATTTGTAAGTTTTTCTCGATTTTTCGAAGGGGTGACTTTTTTAAATTTTTGGCTCAATAAAGTACCTTCCAGGCAGTGTTGGGAAAGTTCCTTTTTAAACGGAATTCGTTCATTTCCTAAAATAACAACTCGTTCCAGATCCAATTCCTCTACGAAAAGAACTCGTTCCTTTTTTCTAACCAAGTTATTTAAGAAGTTATTATTATTATTATGAATTTGATTATAAGGTTAAAATTATCTTGTGATTTCAAGATATCACGTTTTTCGTCAAATTATTTATTTAATATCATTGAAGGTATTCTATTAATATCATTAATATTAGATAAATATTTTAAATAATTAATAATTTGAAATTTTTAGTCTAATTCAAAATAATTATAGGTATATCAATAAGTCGAAAATATTGGAAATGGAAAAATAAAATAGATAACTATTTCCAAAAAACAAGTAAACATAATATTTTTTATTAGAATTTAAATATACTAGCATCTATTCAAAAGGCATCAATCTATTATCTATATAATATGTTTTATAACTACATACTATAATATAATAATAAATATCAGTTATAAATATCAATTGCCAGTAGTGGTGATGAAATCATGATAACGGTCAACAATAATCTTCATCAACGGTCGAAAACAAAACAAATTTGTGGTATTCCTTATGTAAAAGTATTGGAAAATAATATTTATAGAGCAGCAGGCAACTGCTGACGACTTGTGTCAACGCGACCGATGTCTATTGTCTATATAGAAATTAGAAATAATAATTCGGAAAAACCAAAACCTTTAAGATACAACAGTTAACAAGAGACGACGATAATATCCAATTGGCACCATACAATTTATTATTTAAAAAAAACTATATATTAATGTCATAATAACAGTATTTATAGTCAACAGATCCATTTAGATAGCCTACGATATAGGCTGGGTTATGTAGGGGTCGTTCCGTTGTCAATAGTCAACGTAAACCAACTAAAAAAAAATCTTATTTAAAACGTTTAGAAACAAAAAAAACTACACTAAAATGTGTTTATAAAAATGTTAAGGAATTGTAATTTTCGTTCACGTTCCTTAAAAAAAAAAAAGAATTCGTTCATTTTACTCGTTCCTTTATTTTTAAAGGAAGCAGTTCCAAGCTTTGTTCCTACAAAAAGAACTCGCTCCAGAAATCCGTTGGAACAAATTCCTTCTCAACACTGCTTCCAGGTATGATTTCTGATCTATAGAGTTGCGTCATTGTGTTTAAAACACGTGTTAACAAAAACACGTCCTTGTTAAACAAATCCCTTCTGAGGCTCCGAAGCTAAAACACGTTAGCTGTAAGAAAAATGTAAATTATACTTATTCCTCTGTATAAAACGTCGACGGTGTAGCGCATCATGTTTGGCACGGGAGTGTAAGCTATGAGCTCGACGGTAATATATCATTGGCAAACAGTATCGACACGTGTTTAAACAAAACATTAATTTAATAATAATTTTAATACAATTTATGAACACAAAGTACTTCAGTTAAATTTTTTTTAAATGAATAGTGCTATTGTGACACAGTTTTTAGACGCTACGATAATGCATTCGCAAACGTTGATTTCAATACTATTTTGGGTTGCTGTATTTGGTTTTACAGGCATTGTATCGGAAGATTTACAAAAATCGGAACTAGCTTATAAATTAAACACGTTGGTTCGTCATACGGGATGGCGGTTCATGGAAGACGTTAAAATCATTAAAACTATAAATGAATGCAGAACAATCACGGATCCGATGTCCGAAATACTCGGAGCTATATGGTCGAACCGGAATCCGGTCGACGAATCCAACGTCCTGGACAGATACACGGAGGTCTGGACTGTGCTCCGGTGTAAGTACGCGGAGGTTATTATAAAGTACAAGATATTCTTACTACATTTAATACGGGTTTGCCGAAATGAAAAAAAAAAATTAAATAATGAAACGACCGCGTATTCATTTCAAAAGTATTACCATTGTTTTGATTCGGTGCTGACCAAACTCGACAACGTATCGTCGAGTCTCAGAACCCTTACCGACGTGTTAGAATTTATTAACTCGCTAGATCCGCAACGGAAACCCAAGAAAAGTATAATGGATGCTTATGAAAACTTGGCCGGGTTTACTAAAACTTTACGGGCTGATACGGTGTCTAAATTGGCTCAACAAGGTATCCACGAGGATTCGGTCGATCTTGAATTAAAATCTATAAGCGAGTATATCCAGAAGGTGTTTCACAACAACGTAAATTCGTTTGTCACCTATAATTGCATTATGCCGTTACACCGAGAATGGACAGCAGAGAACCTGATCAGGGATTATGAGTACAAAAAGATAATCCAGAGGTTACCGCAGGATACTCCTTTTTTGGAATATGTAAAGAACGAAGTCGATTGGTACGCTGGTGATATCTTAGGCAGTTGGTTCATCAATTTGGGCTTTGCATACGACGACACGGGAAGTGTCACAATCGTGAACATTTAAATTATAATTAGCACCGAAGTAACTATTAACAGTGTAAATTAATCAACATAACATTGTATTCGTTCAGTCTTAAATGAATATTTTTGTTTAAAACAATTATTTATTAACAATTAGATATCAAGCAAAATGTGTCAACGTGGCATTTTATTGTACATGTACACGTAGATTAAAATATTTTAAGTAAACACATAAAACATTCAAATCGCTGTTAAAGAATTTTGGGAAATAATAATTATAAACATGTTTGCATTTCTTAAATAATAGCTGCTACACACGTAATGCTAGTAAACACGTAATAGAACTCTAAGAAAAATCGCCGTTTACAGAATTTTGGAAAATATTTTAATTAATTATTAGCACCGAATTAACGATTGACAGTGTAAAATAATCACTATGATATTATATTCATTCCGAGTTATGTCAATATTTTTTTTTTTAGAAAACAATTATAACATGATATCACTAAAAATGTGTCAACGTGACATTTTATGTTACAACCTTATACAAGTACACGTAGATTAAAATAATTTAAGTAAACACAAAAAATACTTTTTGAAAAAACCCTGTTTTTTGGGAAACAATAATTACAAACCTAAAAAAATTTTTCATTTCTGAAATAAGAGCTGTTCAGAAAATTTGTATGAAAAATTATTAAATATCTTATACTATTAATAAACGTTTACAAAATTATATTCTTGTATTACTGTTAGACTAGAAATATCCCTCTTAATAACGTTAACAGTGTAACGAATTCATGTTTGGGACGGGAGTGTAAACTATGCGCTCGACGCTAATATTATTGGCCAATAATTTCGGCAGGTGTTTAAACAAAAATTAAAATAATTAAAATTGTATTGAAATTTTTGAAACTTGTGACATTAAGTAAAGTTTTTTTTTTGAATAGTGCTATTGTGTGTTGTTTTTTAAACGCTACGATAATGATTTCACAAACGTTGGTTTCAATACTAGCTTGGGTTGCTGTAATTGGTTTTACACGCGTTGTATCGGATGACTTACAAATATCGGAACTAGCTAATAAATTAAACATGTTAGTTCATCATTCGGGATGGCGGTTTATGGAAGACGTTAAAATCATAAAAACTATAAATAATTGCCGAACACTCACGGATCCGATGGCCGAAATATTCGGAGCTATTTGGTCGAACCGGAATCCGATCGACGAATCCAACGTCTTTGAAAGATACGAGGAGATTTGGACTGTACTCAGGTGTAAGTACGCGGAGGTTATTATTAAGTACAGGATATTCTTATCACATTTAATACGAAATTGCCGATCAGAAAAAGTAAAGAAAAATCATAAAACGACCAACGCTTCTCTTCAAAGATATTACCATTGTTTTCATTCGGTGCTGACCAAACTCCAAAACGTGTCGCCGAGTCTCAGAAACTTGGCAGACGCATTGGACCTGATTAACTCGCTTGATCCGCTAATGAAACCTAAGCAAAGCATACATCTTGCTTACGATAAATTAGCCGAGTTTACTAAAACTTTCCCGCCAAATACGGTGTCGAAATTGTCTCAACAAGGTATCGACGAGGATTCAGTAGATCTCGAAATGAAAACTATAAGCGAAAATATTAATGATGTATTTAAAAACAACATAAATAAGTTTGTCGCCCGTTGTTGTGTCATGCCGTTACACAAAGAATGGACAGCAGAAAATATAATCAGAGATTATGAGTACAAGAAGGTAATCCAGAGGTTACCGCAGGAGGCGACTTTATTGGAATATATAATGAACGAAGTGGATTGGTACGCTGGTGACATCTTAGGCAGTTGGTTCATCAATTTGGGCTTTGCATACGACGACACAGGAAACGTCACAATCGTAAATATTTAAAATATAATTAGCACCAAAGTTACGATTTACAGTGTAAATCAATCAACATAATATTGTATTCGTTCCGCCTTATTAAATATTTTTGTTTTAAACAATTAGATATTAACTACTTGATATCAAGTAAAATTTGTCAACGTGGTATTTTCATTACTACCTTATACATGTACTCGTAGATTATAATAATTTAAGTAAACACAAAAAATACTTTATGAAAAATCGCTGTTAAAGAATTTTAGGAAATAATAATTAAAAAAATAAAAAAGAATTTTATTTCTGAAATAATAGCTGTTCAGAAAATTTGTATGTAAAAATTATTAAATATCATATACTATCAATAAACCTTAACAAAATGATATTCTTATATTACTGTTAGACTAGAATCATTTCTCTAATTAACGTCAACGGTGTAACATATCATGATGATTATATGGATGAATAATATTGAGTTCATACAATCTTATGATGTAGCTAATATAAATATATTACACAACAATATTCTTTAAATTTTTGTACACTAAAAGTTAACCCTTAACTTGGCAGAAATAAAAAATTCACACGAAAATTCCTAACCATGTTAGGAAAGGGTGGCCGTCTTATTATTTGTCACGCCGGGTCTCCTTCGTTTGGTTTTGTTAAAGACTAGAAATCAGTATTTCGTTGTAAATCAGGTAGTAAGAAAGATTACCATTCTCGAATGAATGCACTAATATTCGAGAAGTGGTGTAACGTTATACTAGTTCGTTTGGAAGAACCTTGTATAATAGTAATGGACAATGCGTCATATCACTCGGTTTTTAAGGAAGACTACTCTAAATCAAATTATAGTAAGGCAGAGTTACAAGTGCGGTTAAAAATATAGTCTATAGCTTTTTCTCCTCTAGATAAAGTAATAGAATTACGAGAAATAGGTAGGTAAGGTAGGTTGGCCTTACCGAAGAAAAATAAGTATAAACTTGATGAGCTTGCTGCTAAAAACAACAGTTTTAAGATAGTTGAAAAAAGCCGATTTCTTAAAAGTGGGGCTACGTGATGATATTTTAGAACTCATAATCGTTACAATATATTTCGACGAAAGTAGTTCTAGTGATGAAGATGATGAGGGTGATGCGCTTTTATAACGGTATTGAAACGAAAAATCCTATATTTTTATCAATTTAATTAAATTTATTTTCATACATTTTTAATATATTTTTTTGTTTATAGGAATAATTTGTGTTTAACTATTAAGGTAATTAAGTATAATTAGTAATAGTATGTATGTTCAATTATATATACCATACATGATTTTCAACTATTTTAATATAAAAAAATAATAATATAAAACAGATGTTTTCAAATTATTTTACGTGGGAAATAGGCGTAGAAACCCTAAGAAAAGACGGCCGCTAGTTGCGTGACGATCGCGGCTCACTTTTCGTCTTCCGTACAATAGAAAAGTTTAACCTTTGAAAAAATATTAAATTTTCGGTTCGTTTGCTCATTTTTCAGTCAATGCCTAGTGAAAGAAACACCAAACACATGCTATTAAATATATTCAATATTTGCTATCTTAAACTAAATGTAAGACAAAAGTAAACTATACATTTTCCTTAAATAACGTCAACGGTACAACGAATTCATGTTTGGGACGTTGAGTGTAAATCGTGAATTTGACACAAAAATAATTGGAAAATAGTTTCGGCATGTGTTTAAAAAAAAAAAATGAAATTAATTAAAACTGTAACACAATTTTTATAGCTTGTGATTTTTAGTTTAGTTTTTTTTATGAAATAGTGCTATTGTGTGTAGTTTTTTAGACGCTACAATAATGCATTCGCAAACGTTGGTTTCGATACTAGTTTGGGTTGCTGTATTTGGTTTTTCACGCGTTGTATCGGATGACTTACAACCATCGGAACTCGTTAATAAATTAAACATGTTGGTGCGTCATTCGGGATGGCGGTTCATGGAAGACGTTAAAATCAACAAAAATAAAAATTATGACTTGATAACCACGGATCCTATGTCCGAAATACTTGGAGCCACATGGTCGAACCGGAGTCCTGTCGACGAATCCAACGTCCTAGAAAGATACACGCAGATTTGGACTGTGCTCCGGTGTAAGTACGCGGAGGTTATTATTAAGTACAGGATATTCTTACAACATTTGATACGGGTTTGCCGAAATCAAAAAAAAAAGGTAAATTTTAAAACGACCAACGCTTCCCTTCAAAGTTATTACCATTGTTTTGATTCGGTGCTGACCAGACTCCAAAACGTGTCGCCGAGTCTCAGAAACCTGGCAGACGCGTTGGCCTATTTTTATTCGATTGCTCCGAACTGGAAACCTAAGCGAAGTGTAATGATTGCCATGGAAAATTTGGCCGAGTTTACTAAAACTTTAAGGTCTGATACAAGGTCTAAATTGGCTCAACATGGTATCAACGAGGAATCGGTCGATCTCGAATTAAAATCTATAAGCGAGTACATCCAGAAGGTGTTTCACAATAGCGTAAATACGTTTGTCACCCGTTATTGCGTCATGCCGTTACACAGAGAATGGACAGCAGAGAATTTAATCAGAGATTATCAGTACAAAATGATAACCCAGAGGATACCACAGGAGGCGACTTTATTGGAAT